AACTTCTGACATTACCAGTCCTACGGATAACCCACTACTATTATGGACTACTGGACTATATTGGATTATTTTGCTGAATTCACACACCTACAATATTTAAATGACAATGGAATACCCTTCTCTGACAAAACTAAACAAAAAAAGGGGATACAAATGAAGGAGCATTTTGTATCTTTATATTCAAGATATTTATGATAGATATACAGTTACATTCTCTTAATTCAGTGAATAGAGAGATTTGTTCTAATAGTGTTTGTGGACAGGATGTCTTGTCTGCATCTTATATAATCAATAACCACTAAGACAACAATATGCAGTGTATCATTGAAATTGTCATACTAAGCAGTTTTGAAACTGTCTCATTGCTATTTGTTTCTCAGTAAAATGATTTTAAAAAAAACACCGGAGGGCTTCATGCTAGTCCTTGAGTACCCTCTGCCTGCCCAGGACCTTTTTGATACTTCACAGTGAAGAGTCCCCTGGGGGAGCCAGAAGCCGCTGCCTCTTTGCAGCAGTCCAGCACTGCTGTGCCCGTTGTGGTGTCTGTCATGACATCAAGGATGAGAACATCCTCACAGACCTCTGCCAGGGCTGTGCCAAGCTTATTGATTTTGGTCCCGGTGCCCTGCTCCACGATGAGTCCTACGCTGACTGTGATGGGACAGGGTGGACAGCCCTCCAGAGTGGATCTCTCAACACCATGCCCTCCTGACTACTGTCTGGCCACTGGGGCTCTTCCTCTATGACGTTCCCTTGTGAGGGACCAGAAGATTCTGAAGGCTGAGCTCCATTTCCCTGCCCACGTCTCCCCAGACTGCTGCGCCCTAATCCGTCAGTGCCTGGCCCCCCAGACCTTCTTCCTGACCCTCACTGGAAGAGATCCTGCTGGACCCCTGGATGCAAGCACCAGCTGAGGAAGTGCCCCTCAACCCCCCAAAGGAAATCCCACTCCCTTGCCTTGGTCCCTGCTTCCGTAGGCCTAGCCAGGCTCCTCCTGGTTGGAATCCCATGGTTATACCACAGGGACAGATGGACATCTGTTGACCTGGTTTTTCACGCTGCTAAAAATCCAGTAGTACTAAGGTCAGGAATTGGGGATGAGGGGCCAGAAGACAAGGGAAGCCTGCCCAGCCCCATCCTAACCCTGTGAGAGAGCCTTTCTCCTAGAGCCTGTGGTCCCTTATTCTGGGAGGGGGAATTTCTTGTTTGTTGTTTCACTAAGGATGTTACTAATTGGTATTAGTTCCCTTCTGAGCCCCAGGATTCTTAAGTTAACAAGTTGTAGCCCCTACACTGGCACCTTCTCCTATGCCACCACATAAAATTTAGTTTAATTGCTCTTAACTTGGGCAAGGGTGCTTTTCTTTAAAATACCCAGTAGGTCTTTTAATAAAAGGACCCCTTCCCTGGCCTGCGGTCCTGTTGGGTTCCATTGCCTGCCTGCCTGCCTGCCTTAACCCACAGTTGCTTACTCTGGGGATGTAGTGCCCAGGTTACCCCAGGGCTCTTTCCTTTTTTGGAGAGGGGACCCTGCTGTTAGCCCACATGCTCTTATTCTGGTGAAGAGAACCTTACTTCCACATTTTATGAAGGAATGGGAGATGCACACTATCTGATGCCACCAAGACTAGGGTGGGATGGATGGTTTGGGGTGGGGGACTCCCTGGGGGAAATAAGTCTTACTGTGTGTTCCTGCCCCTCCAACTTGTTGCATATTTTAGCTGCCTCCTCCTGAGCCAGGATTGTCCAACTGATAAAATGTAAATATTTGTGTTCTGGAGGGAGGGGAGCTAAAGTGTGTCCTCCTATCCCTTCTTTCCCTGCCTGGATTATTTAAAAAGTCATGTATGGAAATGCAATATTTAATAAAAGTAATAAAATTTTAAAAACAAATTGTTTAATTCCCTGTTACATTCTTCCAGAAAGGTTCTCTGTTCTTCACCCCTTGCTTTAGCATCTTGGAGCCTGCTGTCACGCCTCATGATGTGCTCCCCAGTCTGTGTAGCCTTGCAGAGAGCCCCTAAAATTTATTTCAAGGTTATGTTAGAGATCTTTCATGATCTTTCTTTGCAGCATCATGGAGCAGTACCACTTTGGTCTTTGGATTCAGAAAGGGGCTGGTTTAGTTCAAAAACTTGAAGTCATTTTGTTGGTAACTTGTAGCCATTTCCCAAACACACTGGGAGTCCTGTCTGCTTGTGGCTCATGAAGTCATCTTCCAGTGCTGAGCTCATAAAGGCTGGCACATGCTGTAGAACCCAACCCGTGCGTATTTTTTCACTTAGGAATGGCTGTTTGTTCTCCTCTCATGAAACTCTTGGGAGAGGTGTCCATTCTCTAGGCTTTAGCTTCGCATAACTGGCAAGCGCCTTGTGCATGAAGTGCCCAGCCCTCGCGGCTAGGAACAGATGATTCTACTGAAATCCCTGTTGTTTCTCTTGCTCGATTTTGCATTTGCTGGAAGCGGTCGTAGTCACATCACGGATCCAAGTCCTGTTTGAGCTTGGATGCCCGTGAGTGCCTGGAAGACTGAGTGGGCGTTAAATTCGTGGCCTGCAGCACAGCGGGCCATCCTCAGCATTACCCCTGGAGCTGCTGTTCTGCAAGCTCCTGCCGTGGAGACTCCCAGCTCGGCAAGCCACCAAGTGGCACCATCTACACCACCCTGATGGGGTGCACATGCAGTCACCCGGGATTAGATCGTCTTTTATCTCCAGGCCTTTTTTTAGAACCTCTTCAAAATTTGTAAGGCTAACCAAGTTTTCATGGATCTGTCAACTTGTCGCTTTGACTTCAAGCTTGAATTTCCTCTTCTGTTCATTACTTTAAAAAAATACAAACTTTACATTTAAGAGACTAACACATATTTTAAATCCATCATATTATGTTAGATGATTATTTTCTTTGCCCATTTAGCACGCCTGCAATCACATGTTCAGATGGATTAGCATTTGACATGTCAAAGAGGGGCATGCGAGAGAAAAAGGAGCACTTAATTGGAATTTCACAGTGATTTCCACATAAATCAGCTTAAACAAGGTGTATTAATGTATAGCAATCAGGAATTGACTAATCTGTGTAAATATGTGTGTCAGGAGATGATTTAAAGAGGTGGAAAAACCCTACACAGTAGGATGCCAAGCCTGGTCATGTCACAAAGCGTGGAAGCCTGTTCCTTAATAACAACTAGAATTGTTACTGTAGATTTTAATTATACTTTTGTAATCAGACTGTGATACTATCCTTCTAATTGCAGCTGTTATAAAGGCTAATGTATAGCAATATAGCAGACTATTTAATTAAAGCTATTTTTCTGGTTAGACTTAATACTAAAGTCAGACAACTTCAAATCACATTCATCACAAATGTATTTAAGTAATCATGTCTCAAGTAAAAGATTAATTTTTTATCTTTTATTTTTGCATTTCTAGGGCTATAGAGCTAAATTGAGAAACATTTTGGTTAGGATAGGAAAAGTTATAATTTGTGTATACTTTGCATATTTATTTTAATGGTGTCGTACTATATAATCTTACATAGTGTAATATATTGAGCAATAGTTTGCAAAAATATGTTTTGGTATTTCTAGCTAACATGGTAAATATTAAATTTTATATATGTAAATGCAATATTGCTGGGTCATTTTCTTTTTTCTTCCTCAACAAAATTAAAAATGGAAAGAGTGAGTCTAACAGTTTAATAACATGAGATTGAATTATTTATAGAGTGTTTAATTGAGGGGAAGACAAGAAAAAAAGCTAGTGTAATGAGCACCTTTTATGCTTAGAAATATATTTCCATTTTAAAAATATTTCATAGATCTGTAAAATGTAAATCTGCCTAAATATTGCCATCTTCTTGTAATTTAAAATGTAGGCTCCAAATGAAACGATGTGCCCCTTTTATGGCAGTTTGTAGTCAGTGTTAGCACAGTGGTGGCAATGAAGCTCAGGAAATTTAGTGAACTTTTCAACTTCCCAAATATTTTTTCATGCCTTTGTTTTCTTGCTTTATTTTCAAAACAGTATTAAAACACTTTATTCTTTGGGAATCCAAGTACTAAATAAATAAAAACATTAATAATATTAATTTTTCACTGTATTAGATGAAGAAAACTGCATTTATGATAAGTTTGTAATTAAGGCCTTCAGCATCTTGAAATACTGTGACTGTTTTATTTGGCCATTCTTCTTGTTTTGATACGTCCTTTAAAGAAGTAGATTAAAACAAGTCTGTACTTCTCAGTTAATTAAAGTTCAAGTCTGAAATTGCTGTTTTTGAAATTGTGTATAACATCAGAACAGGATTTTCTAACATTATTAAGAAAAAATTCCCATTTTAATGTGAAGGGAGATTAATAAAATTTTTATTTTGAACTCATGTTTTACATTGCAGTTATTTTTAGTAGGCACCATATTTTAGGTTACGCTGGTTTTTTGACGTTTGTTTATATATTCATCTGTTTTTATGTGGTATGGATTGAACTCAAGACCTTCATTCTGAGCTTCATCACCAGTCCTCTTATTGCATTTTTAAATTTTTAGGCAGCGTTTTGCCAAGTCTCTAAGTTGCCTAGGGTGAGCTTGAACTTGTGATCCTTCTGTCTCAGTCTCTCAGAATCTCAGGATTAGACGTGTGTACACCGCTCCGTGCTGGACATCAAGCTTTGATCCTTGTTCTCTCCTTAAAACTAGAGAAAGGTTCTGTTTCTTGCTTTACAGGAGAATGCCTTCAGTTACTGAAAGTTGGACTGTGTCTAATGTGCTAGGAACTCAGCTTGGTATATAACGACAAAAGCAAGCACCCACCTTAGGAAATCTTGAGCCACACTTATATTGTATTAAAACGACTGTATTAAAGCACATGGTGTATTTAAGGCACTTGACCAAAGCTTGGCACATGGTGAGTCCTCAAGAAGGAGAGTTACCATTCACGACGCATGGCGTTCTTTACAGCTGTTCTTCATCTCCTGAGAATCAGAGACCCAAATTTCACCTAAAATGTTAAATTCAGATGAAGCGATTTATCATTTCTATGATGGTATTATGTCAAAATAGCAGGAGAACTTATACTAACAATGAAACATGAAAACTTGGTAAATCATTTTGGACACCAAGAAGTCTCTCTTTCATACTTTTGCTACAAGCTAACCATAAGTATTCCACACATTTCTCTTGGAAATTTATGAATAACACAGTTTAATGAAACAAGAGAAACAGAATTATGTGACAACTCACTATACTGCAAACACAAACGCTTTTGGATTTTATACTTTTCTCAAAATGTTATTTCTGAAGTACTTTAAGGCATGTAAATAAGATCAGAAACATCACTGTTACACAACTACTCAGTAAATTAATTGTTAACAATTGAGGATTCCAAGTAACTATGTTTCAAATAACCTGAACATAAACACTAAAGTAATATATTTAAAAATTCAGTGTAAAGGTATAACATGTTTTTAAGTTCTGAGAGGATTTGACTGACTTTGTCAGATACAAAAGTTACATTTTTTGTTGTATAGGTCCTGCTTTATTTTGGTCTTAACCATCCAGCAGAAAATTATAAAAATGAGGTATAAAAAGTAAAGCTGTATTAATATTCTGAACTGTAAAAGGCTCAAGTCAACAACTTCTGACATTGCCAGAGTTCTGCTGATAACCCACTACTGTTATGGACTACTGGACTATATTGGATTACTTTGCTGAATTCATGCACCTACAGTATATGAATGACAATGGATACCCATCTCTGACAAAAGTAAACAAAAAGGGGCTATAAATGGACCATTTTGTGATGGAAAAAGTATATAGATCTGTATATACAAAATAGCATAGATATATAGTTACTTTCTCTTAGTTCAATGAGAAGTAGGTCTTGAACTAATAGTGTTTAGACAAGATATCATGTCTGCATCTTGTACTGGGAACAACTACTACAAAGACAACAATATGCAATATATTAATTATTGTAACTGTCCTGCTAACCTGTTTTGAAACTAATTGCTACTTCCTCAATAAAATTATTAAAATATGAAAAATTATTTTTAATAGGTAAATACTTAGAACTACTTAACATGATCTTTAGCTACTTAACATAATGTCTAGTCACAGGTCTCTTTAAGTTGAAGTGAATTTGGATGCAGTATTTCGTTGTCTTGTTGCACCGGGCACACCTCGAGTCCCGCCAGTGTGTGTGGCCAGTAGGTGCCGTGCAAACAGGGCAGAGCAGACCCTTCATATCCCAGATTGCTCTTGGATGGCGTTGCTGTGGGGACATTAGATATTTGCTGTTTATAATTATGGCCACACAGAAAGTATATTAGCAAGTGTGGGGGATGAGTTTGATTTTTTCCTGTCGTATCTTGCAAATCTTGATGCAATTACTGAGCCAGCATTTTGGCCAGTTATGCATCCTTAAAATGACCTCAATTTCCACACAAGTTGTAACTGAGGGAAGTCCCAGGAAATGAAGGCCTTCTGCCCCATGACTTAGGAAGCTGCAGTTTTGGATATTGCCTGAACGAGAAGTAATCACTGGCGTGTATGCTTTCTCCACAGTGCCTTCCAAGCCCTTTCTGCTGAGTGCCCCTCCATTCTGCTCCGCGTGCTGTGGTGGGCCCTGCCGGCGCTCCGCCTCCCCCGCTGCCTTTCCAAGTAAGTTTTAATGCTTCATCGGCAATGCCCCAGCTATTCTGTAAGCCAAAGCAGCAGGATTTAATGTGCTCGGGGAAGCTAATTAGTAATGCAGCGGCAAGCAGCTAATTCCCCCCTAGAATCACAGCGATCCCATCCAGGACGTTTCCAGAGATTTATCAGACCTCAGCTCGGGGAGCACTTGTGAGTGCCTTCTAATGGCCTTGAGACCCAGGGCAGACACACGGGGACCAGTCAGGCTCTTTCTGAAACGGGTAGCAACACCCTTCTATAGAGGAGGACATAGAAAGGAAGAAATTATGTTGTATGATATTAACACTTCTGCCCAGTTTAAAAGTGACCCAGAGTTACTAGATGCTTGTGGAAAACAAGTGTAAATTGTCGAGTTCATAAACGGAGATAAATACCTCCTGTGGATCGCTTGAGTAAAATGGTCGGAGCTGTGGGAACGGCTTCCAAAGGAACTCCAGACATCATAAAAGCGACACGGCTGCAGTGCGTGGCGGCGGCAGGAGAGTGACGGGCTCTCCGGAGTGCTTGGCACGGTGCGCATGCTCACGCAGGTGTGTGCTTAGCTGCAGGTGAGGGTCACGGTGGCCTCGCGCTGTCTGGGGAGAGTAACAGTCTCCAGGCTGCGGATTTGAGATTGTAATAAAGAGGTCCAGCAGACGGGTCCATTTATTTGTTTATTTCAGCTGCCCAAAAGGAAAGGACACCATGCACTGAGGCTGACAGCCCTGTCGGTGATGAGCGCAGGCTCCGGTGCAGCCGAGCTCAGATCCCCGCCACTGCTGGGTCTGTGTCTCAGGAAAGCTTCGGCGAGCAGGCGCGGCAGAACGGTCCCCGACAAGCCAGGCAGCAGACGCTGGCGGCTCAGTGAGCTGCACGTCTCAGAGCCTCTGTTTCGGGGCTGCTACTTTCCCACAGAGCACTTCACATGGCTGGGCCCGGCCACAATGGGCGGCAGACCCGTGACCGATGCTTGCTTTCACTTGGCTCATCCACACGCGACCTTACCACGATTTTTCACTCTGCAGATGAACCTTAGGAGCCATTTCACATGGAAAAGCCCTGGGCAAGGGTCAGTTGCCCTTTTGTATGGTCATAAAGTGAGGCTCTGTGTGCCAGTCTTTTCTCCTGTCTTGCATTCCAAGTGAATTTCTGGACATCATTTAAAGCCCTTGACTGAAAATAAAGCAGTGAATGGAACTGACTTTTATAGACTCATTCTAGCTCATCTTCCCATGTAACCCTGTCCACCTGAAAGGGGATTTAGTGGGTGAGCTGAGAGTATCCAGGGCCCTGCTGAATGCGTAGGGCCCATTCTCAACTGCGGGGATTGTTTATTAACCAGGACTGATACACTGCTATTTTTGAAGTGATCTATTGTCCATTTAACTAGGATATATTGAATTCAAATTGAAAAATAGAAACCATGACTAAACCTCTTACTCGCTGCTTCAAGGTGGTCTGCTCTGAGGGTGATGGAGAACTGCTGTGCAGATTAAGGAGCCATTTATCACTGCAGAGAGCATGAGGCAGAGTCCTCGGGAGTGCAGGCTTAAAGCGCAGGGTCCGTCATTGTATCGTAGTGGCGTCTCCATGGAATTAAATCTTTTCTGTTAGATTTCGTGAGGAGATTGAAAGAGGTCTCACGCTCAGTACTGCACTGGTGGTGCAGTTCAGGTAAATGCGAAGGGGCAAAAGTTGGAGGTAGCAGGTGAGTGGGTGAGGATGTGTGTTATTTTATAGTGGTGTTTGAAGTTGTTGAAAAAGTTGGGTCTGCTTAATTGCTACAATATGTAACAGTGATGCAAAATGTATTTCCTGTATGCCTCCTCATCTTCTCAGCGGCCCTAAAGGTTACTTTAAGCAGGTCTCCTTTTCTTCCATGCACAGTCCTCCTACTTTGTGCCTTTGCGTGACTGTTACAAATTACAGTGTTGATCCCTGGAGGCTTAAAGTCCCATGTCCATCTTTTTAAAATAAATACACAAGCAGAAAGTTCAGTGAAGGTCAGATCAAGGGCAGAAAATGCTACACTTGGACTGTCTCCCTTTCTGAAGTTGGGATTTAAAAGTTTAAGATGCAAGTACTTTAATAGATGTTAGTATCTCATATGATTAGCTGTAACTCTGAAATGAATTTCTTATTTTTGTCTATAATATTCATACTGGCAGAGACTAATCATGCGACAGTGGAATCGTCCTGTCAGGAGAGAATTTTACATAAATCACTCTGCTACCAAGGGGCAGTTGATGAGGTTTACATCTGTACAGTCCTGTTTTTCTAAGGGCATTACTGGATTTTCTTTCCTTTTTTTTAATAAGGACAAAATTTATGCCCAAGCTTTTAAATTATTTAACATTGTACAAAAAAAAAAGAAAAAAGAAAATGAAAGGTTGAAGTCAACTTGCTTAAGTTTCAGTTCAGCCAAGCTAAACCTTGCAGTCAAACTTGTAATGACCAACAACATTGATGGCCCTCGCCATTGTTTCAGTGCTGACCGACCTCCCCGTCCTGAGGCAGAGAGCAGATGCGCACACTTGTGCCTGCCGCCGCGGAGACAGCCTTGGGCGCTCTGCGAGAGCCGCGCGCTGAGCGCGGGTGCAGCTTTTCTTGCCTTCCTAGATTGGCGACCAGCTCTTGTTGCATAGTGGAAGCAGTCACTCGCCAGTGCCGTTCTCACCTGCAGTAAATGCTTTAATGGGCTGCGTAAGCTCGACCCTTAACGTGGGAAACTCAAAGCCGGGTAAAAGTTTTCTCCTCCCGCAAAGCCGCGGATGGAAATTCTTTGATATTGCATGCATAAGGTTCTTTTCAAAATAGCACATTTCTCAGCTAAAAATGAAAGGGAAAATTGTGGAGATTAAAGTAGAGAATGTCTTTTAGAAAAGCCATCTGAAAAATACAGGCATCTTAATGATGTAGGCTAGCTAGGTAACTGAATCAATCAGAAAATCTTCTCACTTTGTCGTGGAGCACCCAACTTGAATTTGAGCTTTCAAGATATTTTATACCTTAGAAGACTTCAGTCTGATGCAGCATCTTAAATATGTGGGCAGGGAAAGCCTTCCTGTGGGACAAACTGCCCTGTTTTTCTTGGTAGATAAATGTCTTACGTTTGAGGTTTCTTAGTATTACCCTTTTTCGTAAAGACTTAAGAGCATGTTTGACTTCAGGGTTTTGTTGAAGGCAGCAGGGAAGGGACAGTTATTTTATTGTGGTGAATTTAGGTTGTTCTGTGAGTTTCATTGTCAGAGGCAGAAAGTGGTCTAATTAGTATTCTCGCCATCTGACCTGGCTGTTTCACAGCGTTCAGCTGGAGTTGAGTGGGCCAAGGAAACAGATCAGATATGAAAACCCACACAAATCTCGCATGTATCTGTGTATGTATCTCTAGAGAGCTTGATCTTTGTCTGTCTTTATAGATATATAGACAGTTCTCTAGGGAAAGATAGTTATAGATATCTAGAGATTTAGAGAGAGAGAGAGAGATCTAGATATATCTAGATACAGATATACAGAGATAAATATCTCAGTAAAGGGCTCAAGTCTTTTTTCTAGTAAAGAAGCCTAATTATGTTGTCTGAAACATAATTGAGTTTGTTCAAAGGTTGAATTTAGGTATTGACTTCTTGAAAGGGACGAGCAGGCATTCTGCAGATAAATGGCACTCAGTCAGCCAAGAAGAATGTTCAAAGGAGCCAAAGACTCAAAGACAATTGGCCTTCCAAGTAGACGGCTCTATTCAGCAGCTTGCGAGGCAGCACAAGTGTTGGAGCAGACTTCCCAGAGTGGGGGCCTTTCCCCCCAACATTTGGTCAGAGGTGCGAAGTGCTTGATTTTGTCTTAGTTCTTTTTCTGAGCATAATATGATGTGTGATAGGGTGGTTGTGAAGAGCTGACTTGAGCTTCCTATTAGAAATAGGGAAAGCGAGAATGCAAATAGGGGTCAGCGAGAATTGGCTGCATAGAGCCAGGCAGGAAAGGAGGGTCCTGACAGCGCGTGATGATGTTGAGTTGGGCTTTCGGCAGCAGCCTGTACAGATGAGGGAGGTGACTGTCCTTTTCACTCTGAAGTGGTCAGATTTCTATGCCTGTTCAGTTCCAAGGACTCACTGTAGAAGGTGCATTCAGCAAACTCAAAGACCAGTTAAGGGACAGATGTCAGCTGGAACATATGACTGACTACTCAGGAGTTCCAAAGGGAATTGGACAGTTGGCCTAGAGGCAAGAAATGATAGGACACATGACAGCTATCTTTAAATTAGATATACTATGTAAAACATACATATAAATAGTAAGTTTGGAACTAATAGTAGAGTTTAGAGGAAGTTAACTTTGGGGCTGATATATGGGAAATGTAGCAAATCAAGCTGATAAGTATATATATATATATATATATATATATAGCATCTCAATAGTGGAGGTTTCAGGATAAACTTTTCTCTCTCTGGACTTCATATCTGCTGAAAGTATACCACACACATGCACACAAACATGCATATACACACATGAAAATAAGGGTAAGGAACTCTTCATGGTAGAGAAGAGCCTGAAGGTAGGAGATGAGAACTCACAACTCGGCAATGCTGGAGCCACAGACAAGAACTGTGCCTCGTCGGAGGAGAGGGGACCTCAGGCAGAAAAGGGACACACTGGAGGGCTTGCGCTAATGTGCGGTTGAGAAAACGGTTAATGGAGGCTGATAGCATTTTTGCAGCTTATTGGAAAGCCCTGGGACAGACCTCCTGTCGCCTCAGTTCTGAGCTGTTGAGCCCATTAAAGGGATAAAAGAATTTTGATTTTGAGAAGGCTGTTTGGTAGTCTACATCTTGAGTAGCCCTAAAAAATCATAAATATTTCTCCTAGAAGCCCAGAGAAGTCCTTGTTTCATGGACTTGATGTTATCTCTTTCTGTATAAATCCAGAGGGGCGCTGGGTTGTGATTTACTTTTAAATATGAAAAACTATCCAGGCAGAAAGCAAACCTATCA